CTTCAATCTTTTCTTCTAAGGCTGCTTTCAGACTCCACAATGACGCGCGCCGAAAAAGGGCATGAACAGAAGGCAAGCCCCTCCCAACTGTCCATCTCACAGAAGCCCTTGACAAACTCCTTCGTGTGACGAGTTCAGTTACAAACCTGGCAGGAGTGCCATTGTTTTGAGAGCCTTTGACAGCGACCACAAACTACCTGCTCGCCCTGAGAATTTTCACTCACGAATTTCAAAAGCAAGTCCACTTTGATTTTCCGGGCGTAGATCGCCATCCACAATGCCTTCTCCATCACCTAGTGTGCATAGGGTCGCACTGATAAGCGGGGCACAATGGTTAACTGTCTCTATCCATACGGTCAGCATGGGCTGCGTACAATTAAATAGACCTCTCAGGTAACTTGCGCCGTAGCTCTGAGAAAGGAAAAGGCTGTCTGACCAGTCACTTGCCAGTTGATCCAATGAGTGCAGATCGCTAATCCCTATAATGGAGGTTACCGAGACCTATAGTGGGGGAAGGTGGGAAGATGTGCCTTGGTTGAGAGTCACGTGGACTACAACTCCCAGCCGCCTCTGCGCACGTATATCGAAATTAAGTGCATGACCAACCTTAAGAGGGGACCAAGCACATTTCGATATACATGCCTAGAACTTTATTGGTCAGCTGAAATGGAGTAGGGTGAACTATGTCTATAGTTTAGCCTTTACCCGCAGAAATTCTATGACCGAATATCGTCCATTCAGAGAACCACTGGAATGTTGAAGAGTAGCCATCTCATCGCCAAGACACTTAGCATTTGAGCAGTTGATTTTTTGTACGTTTGTAATCTGATTTTCTTTGTCGGTCGTTGCGCTATCATTACAACAATAGCTATTTAGAGCCCGCTGAGAACACTTACGAAGAACGGTTTTTGATGTCGACTTATGCAGAACGAGTTTTCGCCGATCGTGCATTCCCCACGTGAGTGTTACAGTTTTTATGAGTTTTTTATAGCTAACTTCGTAGCTTACTCTTGGCCTTGATCAGCTGTCTTACTGTGAGCAGCGCGCATCATGGTAAAGAGGAAAATCGGTCGCTCAGTACTACCCTCTTCCCCCATGGCCGTGTCTTGAATATGATCCCCTTCAACGTACATGCCCCATTTCACTCAGGGCACATCATTGGTTGAGGGATTTTGGTCAAGTCCTACGACCACCCCTTTTTTAAGGAGTTGGTACACCCCCTCCCCC